TTTGTTTGTTTGTTTGTTTGTGCCAATTCCTGTTTTCAAGGACATGACAACAGCATGCTAATGAATCGTAAAGGTCTAATGCATTCGCACTCGACATTGTACAGACAGCGAGGGGGCACAGTAGGCCCATTGCCATAGAGCTGTGCCCAACGAAGCTCTATGGTGACCTTAGGATATGCAGCCTGATCAGCTGCACGTACCTGCAAGAATTTTTGATCCAGTCTAAAGTGCAAATGCGAGCTGTTGAAACCTTCTGTTTGACCGACCCTGCACTTCTTGCCGTTCCCTCAAGTCAAGCGCTAAGTATTCCTCATCCTCGTCAGGCCCTTAAGGGTGAGGTTTTTTTCTTGCACGCTTACCACTGGATGGTCGTTTCTGCTCGAGATTGCTGATACCATGCTGCATGGAGCCCACTGGGTGCCGTTCAAAGAATGACATGCCTTTCACGCGTCTAAGCAATCGTTTGTACAGACTCATGTCATACTGCTAAGTATTCATTGCTGTCTTGCTTTTCTTTTTTCAGTTTCTCTTCGTTTTCTAGGTCTTTCTTCGTTGCTAAAGGCTTTTCAGCTGTAACACAGGCCTTTTTTAGTCAAGCGAGCGCCGGTTTGGCTTCTTGGCCAGTGCCCTTAACCAACCCCCCCCACACCCCTGCACCCTTTCTTTCCTTGCCTTTTTCGTTTGTTTGGTCTTTCCTTCAGAGGCTTGTTAGCGTTTAGTCAATGCACACCCACACCCCCCCCCTCCCCGCGGAGAAAAAGAGGGAGCGCCGATTTGGCTTTTTGTGTGTCAATTCCTGTTTCCAAGGAAATGACAACAGCGTGCTAATGCATCGTAAAGGTCTAATGCGTTCCCACTCGACGTTGTACAGACAGCAAGGGGGCACAGAAGGCCCATTGCCGTAGAGCTGTGCCCAACGAAGCTCTCTATGGTGACCTTAGAATATGCAGCCTGATCAGCTGCACGTGCCTGCAATAATCTAAAGTGCAAATGCGAGCTGTTGAAACCTTCTGTTTGACTGACCCTGCACTTCTTGCCGTTCCCTCAAGCTATATAAGCGCTGAGTATTCATCTAAAGGGCTAATGCACTGGCGTTCAAGACTGATACAGCTCTTGCGAGCAATGATCTAAGTGTGTGTGTGTGTGCGTGCCCCTTGTAGTCACAGGGATCCGTTTGGATTGTACTTTGAACTCCGCTCTATTTTGAGCAGGGGGACACAGCATTTCACTGAGACTGTGTCCAACGAAGCTACCAGTGAAATGGGATATCCAGCTTGGCCAGCTGGGCGTACCTGCAACAACTTTTAAAATTTGCGGCAGTCATGCACGTTACGCCATCATCTGTCGGTTCGTTTCCGACTTGAGCCTTTGGCCCCTTCTCCGTTTGAAGACCCCGAGGCCCCTTGTACTCTTAGGAAATGGTACCCTAGGCCGGCGTGTGGCACCGCTGTCAGTTCCGTATGCATATCCATAAGTGTGTCTGGCCTCGGCCAGCCCGGGATGAGCCCGCAGAGTGCCTCCCATGGACCCGTCAAACGGGGGTTTGTCTTTGTTTCCCTTGCTTTGGAAACGTACGTGCCCACAGCGGGCGGAGTAGGCTTATGCCAAAGTTTTTTGCCAAGACTTGTCGGATTATTGAATTGCAAGATGGCTCATGCCTTTACGTGACCGCAGCGGTCCAAGCTGGCTTAACGCCTCAACGTGGCCAGAGCGACCAAAGCATCTTTTGAGGTTCGTTGGAACCTGTCCCACTCTCAGGTGCACACGCAGCGCATACAATCAAACGAGCGAGCTCCCTAGGCGCTTCTAGTTTCATCGGTTCTCGTGCCCTCCATTTGGTTCCCCTTTCATCCTTTCCCCTTCACACACTTCTGTTTCCTCTTTTCTTTCATGTCCTCCTGTCTTCATGTTTCGTCGTCTCATCCTTTCGACAATGAGGTGAGGCTCATCGGTTGTCCCTGTGCACTTGGTTTCTCTTTCATCGCAACCACGCACACTTTTGTCCCGTCTCATGTCTTCATCCTTTTTGTCTTTCCTGCGCGCGCATTTCCACATTCGTCCTAGCCTTATTTTTTTTGCTTCCCCTCGGGGAGGCGTGTGCGTGTGTGCCCCTTGCAATCACAGGGATCCAGTTAAATTGTTTGCTGAATTTTCTTCTTTTCCCGCAGGGGGACACAGCATTTCACTGGGACTGTGTCCAACGAAGCTACCAGTGTCAAGTCCGTACGCGTATCCATAAGTGTGTGGGGATGGCCTTGAGGGTCAAACATTGGATTTGGTTCTAATTTTTTTGGATTGGTCGGTTGAAGGAACACACTCACCAAAGTGACAGGACAGACGATGCCTGGACCTAATAGTTTACGGGGGGCCATTTTTTCTGTTTTTGTGTTTTTTGTTTTTCGTGGCTTCTGGCTTCTGGCTTCTGTGGCCTCTGGCTTTTGTGGCTTTTGACTTTCGTGGCTTCTGTGGCTTCTGTGGTTTTTGGCTTTCGTGGCCTTCGTGGCTTCTGTGGCTTTTGGCTTTCGTGGCTTCTGTGGTTTTTGTGGCTTCTGTATTTGGCTGGCGGCTTTCGTGCCTTCTGTGGCTTTTGTGGCTTTTGTCTATATCTATCTATCTATCTATCTAATAAATCTATCTTTCTTTCTTTCTTTGCTTCTTTCTTTTGGCAGCTGTTCTCCTTTCTCTTTGTGCATTTGCTTTTCCTGTTTTTTGCGTTGCAGAGAGCTGCTCACCTTTGGATCTGGTGTGCTGCTGGGGGGCCCCCCCAAACCCCCCCCGCGCCACGAAATCTGCAATTCATCCCCGACACCCGCGCCTGCCACGAAATCAATATTTTAAGGTGAACTCCCCGGTGCAAAACTTTCTAACCAAGCAAATATGCCTCCTCTCTCTATCTATCTACCTACCTATCTATCTATCTATCTATCGATCCATTTGTATTTCTATCTTTCTATCTGTCTATCTGCAGTTCAACATCCACAAAGTACTACACCTGCCACGAAATCTGCACTTCAAGGTCCACAAAGTCTTGCGCCTGCCACGAAATCTGCACTCCAAGGCCCACAAAGTCCTGCACCTGCCACCAACTCTGCACTTCAACATCCACAAAGTCCTCCACCTGCCACTCCTCTGCCCTTCAACATCCACAAAGTCCTGCACCTGCCACGAAATGTGCATGGCAAGGTCCACAAAGTCCTGCACCCCACGAAACACGAAAAACAAAAAACATTTCAAAAAGAAATCCAAAATTAAGTCGCGGCCCATAGTTTACCATGGCTGCAGCAGTTTGTCCAAGACCTTTGTTCAATGCATCGTGTATTTTGGGGGTACCTGAGGAACTTCTAGTACCTTCTACTTCACTGGGCCCTCGCTGAGGCCGGCGGTACTTGTGGGTCCTTGGCCTCTTGGCTGCCGGGTGCATCGACGAAGGCTTCCGCCGGTGTCTTCAATTCTGGGCCCCTCGCCTCAAGAAGATCTTGGACTTGGCTACCCTTTGCGCAGGAGGGAGCAACTGAGGGTCGCTGGGGCTATCCCTATTCCCCGACGTTGGGAGCGAACACGGGAGTTGGCTTCTGAGAGTCTGCACGTGTTTCCCTGAGGCGGTGGTGTTCCCGCTGTGGCTTCTTGGCTGGGATCGAAGTCCGCTCGAGCTGTTGCAGGACATGATTCGTTGAGACTTGAAATCACCATGATTCGCTGCGAACAAGGCTTTCGGGGGGAAATGGAGCCTTGGTTCACCAACCTGGAAGGTCCAGCCACCGGGTGGACCAGAGCTCCAGGTGTCAAGACCCATGCTCGTAACGGCTAGTTGACTGCTATCAAGATGTGACGGCATGGCGTTAGAACACCGGACTTCGAAGACTCGGAGACGATACTCTGACTAACATGGAAGTGGAAAACAGGCACCCGTTTTGCTCTACCAACAGGCTGTTAGTGAGTGTTAGTGAGTGGGAACGTATGTTTTTACGCGATGTATTCAAGTCGCTTCGCCACAAACCTGCACCAGTGGTTTGGAGAGAGCACGGAGGAAATCAACAATCACATAGGATCCCATCGTCCACTCCAACACCCCGTCGATGATTCAGTTCGTTCCGCACCGATGGCGCGACCATTTGGGAACCCCAACACTTATATTCAACAATGCTATATTCATCCTGCAGCCTGCAGCCATTGGTCTATTCTATCGATTTGGCACTAATCATACTCCTTGGAGGCAATTCATTCCCGTTTTCCGCGCCATCCAGCCATGATGCACTTGCATTCCTTCGCATCACTAATATGCATGAAAGTCAACCAAACGACTCATTTCCACCGTTTGGGCCACTTCTTCCCGCAAGCATACGAAATGCTCCGCCTTACACCCTGCAAACATTGCCTTTTCCCTTTTCCCTGTTTTTTTTTGCACACCACCACCTCAGTGCGGCCTGAGGATTTCTCTAGCTCCCTGAGGTGTCACTATTTGTGGGTCGACAAGGTGCTGCCACCAACTCATGTTTTGTTGGTGTCTGCATTTGTGACAGAGGGCGCGTTGATGAGACAAGATGTCGATCACTCTGAAAGAAGTGAAGAAAGGAGTATTACAGTATGACTTTATGACTCTACCTGACCACCGGCCGCCTGTGTAGAGGTGAGTCACCGCAAGGATGGTGCACAGGGGCTGGAAGCTAGAGATGCAGAGTTCAGCTTCTTGGAGTATTTGCGAGTCTTGATCAGTCAGAGAAGGACCATGAAAGGGCTAATCTCAGGCCGAGTCAGTTTGTGAATGTTCCTTCTTGAAGCGGGTCTTTCAAAGCCAGTGTTCCTCTCCGTCGTTCTCCAAGGCAAACTGCATGTCCGTGCCTTGAATGAAAAGTCGAAGACTGGTGGAGTCGAAGATGACGAGGCTTTTGTTATCCCAGCGACTCTCGCAGCGGGCAAGAGAGTTGCCGCTTCGGCCCGGGGGTGGGGCCTTTTGCGCGGCGATCGGTCTGAGGATATTCTCCCATTATTCGTGGAGCCACGTTGTGCCCGTGGGAGCGGTGCGACGGGGGGCCACGTGCCACGTGCCACGTGGTGCCGCGTTGTTTCCAGACGACGCGTGACGCCTGTCCTTGACACTTTTGGGCATTCCAGGACTCTGAACCTGGGAGTCCAGGACTTTGAACAAGACTGGTCTGACTATATAGGTGACACAAGTCTAGGAATCTCCGTTAGCTCGGTGCCAACTCTTGTCGAGCTGGACGTCTAGCGAAACAGGGACGTCTGGATCTGGAGGTGTGTTTCGGTCTGGATCCTTCAGGTACATGAGAGGCTTCTACCTCAAAGCTGCACAGCTAGTTTCTACTCGAGATGACTTCCTGCCGCTTGGCTGGGTTACAGCCCGGCGCTTTCTCCGCCGGCTGAAAGCTGGTTGGATTCTTCCCTCACCCCCGGCCTGCGCGAGCCGGGCACGAGGCCGGAAGTGTATTTGGAATGGTGCCGCAAACTGCAAGACGAGGTGGGAACTTCCGTTCGTTTCATGCCGTGAGACGTGTCTCGATGCGCGTGCAAGCCGCTGCACAGTGGTGGGCGGACGAACTTGAAACCACCCGTGCCTGGTCGTTTCACGAGAGTTGGAAGATCGTGGGTGAAAGACACGTGCCTGATCGCTGCGGGGAGAATTGACCAACCAACTCAACAAGGTTCGCGGAACGCTCTGCTGGCAGGTTCCCATGACCTTGTCCTCAGACGAAGCGCGGAAGGTGATTGCAAAGGAGAAGTGAGGGAGTCGCCCTCCTCAACCGCCTGAGAAAGCTGAAGAAGATTGCCAGATGTATCCTCTGGTATGCACCCAGTTTGGACTTGAAGGACTCACCTCCAACACAGCCACACCAGACAAGCCCTTGGGCCGCTCGTCCCACGGATCCCGCGACCCTGAGGAGCTGAAGTTGGAGGATTTGGATGCCTTGTTGACCGACTGGGTGGAGGAGCCCATTGGTACGGCTTCGATTGGTCAAGTCTATCAGGCAGCTTGCCACGTTGGCCGGACCAAAACGCCGAGAAGATGTGGGGGGGGGTCTGGTCCAGGCAGCGGAAGCGTAAGCCTTGCATATCATATCAGGTCTTTTTTGTAAGCCGAAAGCCACGCAGATGAGGTAGGGGATTGCTGTTGGTGTTGTTTCTTGCTATTGCTTGGCAAGTGATGTGGGATGCAACCGGCGCTGGATGTCTTCGCTGATGGCATCAACATAGGGGTGCTCCAGGCTACGGCCATTTAATCTTTTTGAACCCAAGAGCACTCCGATAAGTCTTGGGGGAGCAGGGAGCCAATGGCCTCGACTGAAATGACTGACTAAAGGAAAGGAAGGGTCAGGGAACACGACAATTTGATTCTCTTCACCCAGACTCAGGGACCCTCATATAGTGGGGTCTGGACACTCCACAGGGACCCAGTCTGTTTTCACGGAGCTTCTGGGCAGATCTCTTCCAGGCACGGTTGAGGTCCACCGGAGAAGACGTGGCGATCAAGGTCCAGGCCGGGATCTGACTCCCATTCGAAGCGACCAGGTCGGTTAGAACAGATGAGCCTAGTTGGGAGGGTCCCCACGAGACTGGCGTGAAAAGCCTTTCAAGCCACCCTGGCGTAACAGCTCCGCCGGCTCCGCCCTCGCCTCTCCCACGAGGTCGGTCGGTAGCTCCACGGGTCCACGAGGTCTGTCGGTGTTCGCCCTTTGTTGAGGTTCCCAACGCAGAGAAGATGTTTCGCCGGATGCCCTGGGGGGGCTTCCCTTGAAGAAAAGGACAGTGGTCGGAAGAGCTCCCGATGTGAAGTGCCACACGTGGACCACTCTGAGGTGCCGACATCAGCTGCCTGAAGATGCCCGGCAGCCCAGCCCGCAGCGGAGCCCGCAGCGGTCAGGCGTAAGGCGTCGCTCAAGCGAGCGTCTGGCGTCGCATCCGGAAGCGACCGCACCCTGACATCCCCACACAACGTGGGAGTTGGGAAGATTTTTGGCTCTTCTATCAAGTTCCATCGATGGGTTTTGGGCTGGCCTCCATGTATGTTTTAAATTGAGACATCCTTTTTCTCTATGTTAAACCCCCCGCTCTTCGAAAACGCCTTCTCACCTGTCCCCATCTGTCAGACATGGAAACCACCGCCCCAACCTTGGTGGAGATGGACTGGGTGATCCTGCGGAGATGGACTGGGTGATTTCCTGCCATGTCCCTGCTACCTACTACTGGTTGGCCTACTCACCTACTCAGACTGGAAGATGTGGTCCTCAAGTCAATGGGCCTTCAAACGTGCGCTGAGGTTTACGTATCTGGCCATTCCATGGGCCTTTGCACCTTGGAGAAGAGTTTGCCGCGCGAGATGCGCGAGGCACGAGCTCCGAAGTTTTTAGCTTGATTTTTGGCACTAGCTGACTAACTACCTCTGCCCTTTCAGAGATTAGTGTTCTGGTGAAAGAAATCATCCCGTTGGAGATGGAATGCCCCAAACTGGCTTCGTGGGGCGGCCCGGGTGGGTGCAGCCACGTCCTCACAGGGCTCTGGTGCAAGAACCAGTCTACATCTTCTATTCGACCTGCTGTGCATGCAGCAGGTCCTGTGTAAGGCATCGCCCTTCACAGAGCAGCTTTGGACTTTTGAGGCCGTAGCTGGAACAAGACAGCCAGTTGCAAGGGTTGGCAGCCCCAAGGAGCAGATGAAAGAGATTGAGAAACTGTTTGAGGCGGAGTTTGACTACTTGGAAGAGTTTCGCCCCTCGATTTTGCCCGACTTCGCGCGGAAAGAGCGGTCGAACAAAAGAAGAATAACAGAAGGTGGGTTCCACGTCACGGGTGTTCCACCGTCGGTTTGGACTGCCGATTCGGACGAAGGAGAGACTAAGCTTCTGAAAAGACAGCAGTTTGTTTGATCCGGGTCCTTTTTTGGGTCAGTGCCAGTTCGCCTTCAATCCCAAGCACGGCCTCCGGAGCGGAAGGAAGATGCAAGATCGAGTGGCCTGCTCGGTTTTTGGCCACGAATCTCAGCCAGTGGGCTTGTTTGGTTGGCAATGGTCTGCCCTATGTTTTTCCATCATTTTCCCTCGGCGGGGGACGCTTTTCGCGGCCTACCGTTCAGGGGTACCGCAGCGACCCCGGCCCATCGCTGCGGGACTGAGGCAATTTGGAGGCCATGCGCACCAATTTGCTGCCCAAGTGGGGGCACCGGATCTACATCCCCAGGCGTGCCACTGGCGTGCCACCGGCCGAAGCTTGCGAATGAAACGCCGTACGAGTCTGGACTGGGTCGGAACAGGTCTGAGTCGTCCATGTCTGGCCCAGGCCGATGAAGGAGCTGAGCTCGCGCCATGTTTTGGGGATGGAGCTGCTAAAAGGTGAGAAGTGGGGAGGCTTAGATAGACCGCGCCCGGAGAACGAAGATAGACGAAGGATCTTTGGGTTAGTTGAGATGAGCTGGGTGTTTTTTTGTGCCAGTGGGTCATTCCAGTTTCCTTTCAAAGCACCTTCCGAGTCAAAGGCACTTCTTTGTGAATGCGATTGCTGTATGTGGCTGGCTGGATTTGTTTGGCAGGATGTGTGGGCAATGGCAGTGGCTGTTGATCCAACCCACTAGTTGTAAGCCCTTGCATTCTCTTCAAGACTGCGCCGAGTCTGTGTCGAACCTGGCGAAAGCGAGCTCGGTGACCAACTTGGAAAGCCATGGGAGCAGTCCTCATTCTCGATCACTTCGTACCCTCCCTGGTTGGAAGAACCAATCCCATCACTCAAAGCCGCCACCGGGCCCCCCCGTCGTGGGACCCGGCGCGCGCGGAAACAGGTTCATCTCCGCGGTGCGGCGGCGCTTGAAGCCGTTGGCCGAGCGGGAGGGGAAGACCGTGGAGGAGTATGAACAGGCCGGTCCGGTGGCGGCGAGACTGCGTGGCGATTCTTTTTATCAATCAGTAGGGTGGTAGGAGACTCATGTGTACCCTCGATGAATGGAAGTGCCCCTTCCATTTGGATTCCATAACTGGGTTGATATATAATCCAAAGAGTCGACAGTAAGAACCGGCGGATTCTCCGTTTCCCTGCCGTGATCTTCTTTTGGACTCCTGAAAGAGGCTGACGGTGTACCAGAGTGATCGTGAAATTGCAACCTTTTGAAGGCCATACTCAGCCTGGCATTGAGATCCTACAAGTTGGTAAGAACCACTTAAGACTTACTGTAGATTCATTTTCTTAATATGGAATTTGGCATTTACCAGACTTGTCAGATCTCAAGCCTGGCATTTTCATGTTGTCTGTCGAAGCGGGTCCAGGAGCAGATAGAGGCCCTGAGGAGTGGGCGACGCAAGGCGGAGGCCGCAACTTGGTCGTCAACCATCTAACGAGGCAGAGGAGGCTGAGGAGGCCCCACCAAACAGGGTGTGTTTGCGGGAATGTGTCTTGTGATTGTTGGAGGGGGTGCGGACAAAAAGGGCCAAGGTGATCATCCAGCTATCCGGATGGAAGTAAAGCTCAACACTGCATGGAACTCCTGGTGTGTCACGGCTAGGCCCGGTGTCACGGTTCACCCTTTCAGGCCAGTGCTTTGCGATGGCTCCCTCCTCAATTTCCGGGTGTGACCAGACTGGAAGTTAGAATGCCATGAACGCCCCTTCTTGGTCTCCAAGGAATGGCGTGGGCAGTGGCAGGGCCTGCCATACACAAGGCTTGTAGCGGGTTCACAAGGCAAGTCACCACAAAGGCAATTCCTTCACAAACGCCGGCATGTGACCATGTCACAGAAGTTGGGGAGGTTTTGGAATTGGCGATCTACGCAGGCCCTTCGAGATCTCCAAGCACTCCTGGAGAAAAACACACACTTAAAGAAATGCGCACTGAAGCAGTTGCGGTTTGCCACACGGTGACCTAGGTAACAGATTTTGCCTGAGTAAATCGGCAGAAGGATAAAAGTAAGTTAGAGGCCATCGCTAGGAAGTTGGAGGACATCGCCCAAGTCTGGAGGCCATCGCTAGTAGGTTAGACGCACAAGCAAAAGGCGACACCAAGCAACGAGGTTGGAGGTCATCTCTAATGGGTTGGGCACCAGGTTGGAGGCCCGCGCTACGAGTTTACAAAACACACACCCAAAGAACAAGGTTGGAGGTCATCTCTAGCGCGTTGGAGGCCATCGCACCAGGTTTGAGGCCAACACTACTAGTTCACAAGACGCAATCTCAAAACTCAAAACACAAACACAGCTAAGTCTAGTTATTTCCGTCAGCATCCCTGTGACTCCAAGGGTCACACACACACACACTGCGTGGAGGAAGATCTACACCAGCCAGTTGGGGGTTCGTCAGCACCCGCGTACCGTCAGCAGCGTCAGCAGCGTCAGCAGCGTCAGCACGAGGACGAGCCTCCAGAGCTGAGGCCTGGTGGCTCCGCTGGAAAGCGCTCCTGGGCCGATGGATGCATCGCGTCCGGCACTTCGGCCGCCGGGACTTGGAGCCTTTGGATGCCGCTCGCCGGGCTCTGGTTTGGGAGGGATGGGAAGTGGAAGAACGGAGGAGGGGGGTTAGAGTGCCTGGTATTCAATTGCCAGGACCCCCATTCGGGGTGGTGAATGGACACCCCGAATCACAGCTGTTTGGGGCTATAAATAGACACCCCGAACGAGTCGGGTCCTGGTGAAATTGGACGGTGGCTTCGTCCAGGACTAGTTGACTAGGGTCCCAGTGTCTTGGAGCCAGACTCGTCCAGGGTTCGACTTCTTTCGACGTCGCCTTATCTGAATGCATCATGGGTGGCAAAGCTTCGAGGAGGGAAACCCTGTCGGTGCCTCCAAAACAAATGGAATTTGCTACAAGAATCTTTGCCGAAATACCTTGGATATGGATCCTTTCAGCTGGCCCCGCCCCTTTCACTGCCCATATGTCCATGGCGTGCTGTATCGTGCTGAGGTCGGGGGGATCTTTGAGATGTTGATGCAGATCCACGGGCAGCAGATCCTGCTCGACACCAAGATGCAGTTGGTTGTCTCAGCGGTCTGAGTGTTTTTTTGGGTCTCATTGAAAAGTGGTCATTTGGTTCGAAACGTTGGACAGGTTCCAACATGTCCATGAAGTCCTTTCTTCGAGGGTCTGAGACGCGCGATCCGCGCACGCACATCGCTTGGCGCGGAGGATGGGTGTTTCAATGCGGACCCACATCCTGGGAACATCCTTCTGCTGGAGGATGGGACAACTCTGGGCCTGATTGACTTTGGTCAGGTGATGTACCTCCCACAGGCCACCTGGCAGCAGTTGCACTGGCGGGCAGTGGAGACAAGGATGGGTCCCTCTAGTCTGGAGGGGGGCGTGCAACTTCTGGAGTATTCTGGACTCAGGCGTGCCAGAAACACGGAACCCAAACATGATCGGGAAGAATCGCATGTCCTCCAAAGGGTTATACAGCTGAATATGTTTGAATTACTTGTGACGGTGCCTGCAGGAGGCCAATCCTAAGCACTTGATGAGTTAACAGTTAACACATTGATTGTACTTTTTGCCTTTTTTTTCCGCCCCTTCCACCTTTCCTTCGGCATGGGGGTCAGATGTTGTCCTGTAGTTAGCAATCTGGCCGCCAGGCCCAGAAGTTTGGATGACCATCTTTTCGTCATACCAAACAGGTGGTGAGATGTTCCATGGTCACCATGATTCTGACTCGTAAAGCCTCGGTTCTACGTTGAAGACCCCGCGCTCTGCAGTGAGACGGCCACCGCGAAAAACCACGCTCTGCATCCCAAGCATTTGGAGGCGTTCTGACACAATGGAAGGCTTCCGAGTCCTCCAAGTCTTCGCTCAGTTCGCCCACTGCGAAACAAAAGACAGGGCTTCAAGGGGAACTGGACCTTCGATTGTTTTTGAATGGGGGATGCGGCCGCTTCAATCTCGATGCCTCGCCTGTCTTTGATTGTTGTCGCTTTGGAGGCATCCCGCGAAGCAGAGTTCTCTGCAGATATACCCACTTCAAGTTTTTTTTTCCACGTATCTACATCTAACTTCTAGTCTATGTGTGTGTGTGTAGGTGTGTCTACAGATGCTTATCTTTCCTTTTCCACTGCAAGCAGCTGGCACGGCTCGGCTCGACACTCCTCAGGACTTCCGCGTGAAGCTGGCGCGGCTCATCGTCGCCCTGGCCGAGCGCCAGCCCGAGCAAGTGGCGCGCTACGAGAGTGGCCCGCCCTGGCTGGTCGATGCGAAGAGCGCGGGGCCAAACAGACAGACCCCCAACAGACAGACACACACTTCGAACTTCGAACTTGGATTTTCAGTTAATGCAATTCCACGTTGGGAAGGAAAGCGATGGAACCGCAAGGTGGCAAAGTCCGCTGAAAAGTATTGTTGAACACTGTTGGCAGTTGCACTCGAAAACGATCTGACACTCAAAGTCGGCTGCAAAGTGGCGCAAAACGGCGGTGGGTTTGTGGGAGGTATCATGAAGAACCATGAAAACAAACAAGGTCAATTGGACAGCTTGTTCAACCGTTAAAGCAGGTACACATCCATGGCCAGTGGATGCTTCCCTCTCTGATGCCTAGCTTCGTTGGACAGAGTAGCATCAGAGAGCTCTGTCCCCCTGCTCATGTAGGGTAGAAAGAGTGGTGGTGGAAACCCTTTGTCCAGGGTTGGACACACACACACATACAGTGCATTATATAATGTATATATATATATATACACAGTATATATGTCAATCTCTTCTGTATATCAACATATGTATATATATAGGTATGTGGGTTTGTTGGTGTCTGTCTCTCTTGTTGGTCTGGTCTGTCCGTCTGTCGGTCTATCTCTATCTAATCTGTTAATGTAATCTAATCCATGTCATGTCATGTAATGGTAGGTGGGGACAAGTGATGTGCAACCCCAAGAAGGGTCTTAGGAGAAAGGTCAGATATCCATCGTCCCTTGCAGGGTGTTTGACCATAACACGCGGGTGCTTAGCAGAGGGCCCAAACGTAGCCAATCCAACTGCAGTTGGGACCCGCGCGAAATGTAAATAAAACGCAGAACATGCTCTGCTCGCGCAAAAACTGGACCTAGGTGAGATCGGTGTGCCTGGGCGTGTGGTGCGGTTTTCGGCGGATGTGACGGGGGATGCGAGAAGCATCAACGGAACGACACGAAGCCTGGGTGATACCGGGCCGGTATACTGAAGATCAGGGCTGAATAGGGCTGAACACCCTTTAGAAGAGCTGTTTAAGATATCCAGCCCTCTACAAGAGTTTGTTCTCGGGTACTGGCTTCACGCCCCAGAGCATCTCAACAAGATGAACCGCAACAAAGAACATCAAGGAGCTACATACCAGGCAGAAACCTACAAAGGGTCTCTGACACTGGCACTTTGTAGGTTTTTCCCTCCACTTGGAGCCGGGACACCAACGCTGCAATCCATGTAATGTAGACTCTTGATTGAAAACCCCCCCATATGAATTCAACTGGGGGGTTTATTGCAATCGAGAGTCTACACTATGGCGCACTTGAGGCAAGTGCGCTGCGAGCTTGGGACTGGTCTTTTGACAATGCCAACTTGGCTCGGAATCTGATAGCCGGCCCAGCTGGTCCTAGGTCAAGCGCAAATACTACAAGCAAGATGTTCAGTATCGCCTTTGTTCATTCTGGCTCGACCGTGACGATGAGGCGACTGGCTTGCGGGGTAGGGGTCCGATTCCAGTGGAGGTTGCAGGTGGTTCTTGACCGGGCAACCTCTCAAGGCCCTTAAGGCGAGATTCCCAGGATGGACATCCATCTATTGAAGAGCTAGTAGCCCGGTGGTTCTACCATGGTTCTACCATGGTTCTACCATCATGGTTGGACCTAAGGCCTTCACACAGGCCCAACCAGGTCGTTCCCAAAACTGGTCTTTGAAGGCCAGGAAGAGACTTCAAGACTTCGCAGATCGGTAGCAGGTTCCGCACCAGCAGGTCTCCGGAGAAGGGTTTCGGACGGTGCCGGAGCCGGTTCGGAAACCCGGAACCCGGAGCACGTCTTGCTGGTTATGCTGACGCGCTGGTTATGCTGACATGGGTCATCATGCTGGGCATGTTGGCACACAGACATTGCATCATGCTGACATGTGATCATGGTGACATGTCATCACGTTGATGTGCTGTCATGCCATCAAGGCACCATGCTTGTATGGTGTGCGCAGCCATGCCAACCTTCGAACATGTTGCCCCTTTACCACACTAACTTGCAAACAGGATGTCGTGCTGCCGCAAGTTTTTGTCTGACATTTCCACATGTTGTCACGTTGATATGCTGGCATTCTGGCATGTTGCCGTATTGAGCGCTGGCATGCTGACATGGGTCAGGCCAACACGAAACATGGTCATGCTGAGATGTTGTAGTCGTTTCATGCTGTCCTGCTGACCTGTTGGCCTCCAGACCTGAGTTGAGCACGTGCGCATGTGCGAACATTTGCTTTGACGAGTTGTTTTTGCTCCCATGACAGGTTGAAATGGCTCACATGTTTCAAGACAGCATGGCCCGGCAACGAAGCACAACTTGTTGCTGAACTTGCGATGTTGCCGTTGTCTAATAAGCAAATTCATGCCCAGCCCCAGCCATTGGGGGAATTTTCTTTTCTTTTCTCGGTTTTGGTGGTGTTTCTGCAGGAGATCACCCAGGGCCTCAACATCTTTGACTTGCTCGTCTGGGGCGAGTCGGAGGATCCGGAATACTGCCTCGCTTGGAGACCGTGGGTCGTGGTTGTCTAACAGGGTCCCTCGGAAGGGTGCCAGTGGGGGGCGAGGTGTAGAACCCGTGCCAAAGGCTCACCTGGAGACGCAAAACGCGCTCCTCCCACGGGGTGAAAACCCACCGCCACGACCGGTGACACGCACTAGCTCGCTCGCGCCGCCGCCTGCGGGCCGCAGCGCTGTGGGTAACTCGGAGCGCGGAGGGAGCCATGAGCTTCGCGGAGTTGCTGGGTCAGCTGAATGCCAGGCCTCCAGGGTTGTGGACCGAATCAACATCAGGTGGTTTGCTGCCAAGGGCCAAGGGCCTGCCAAGGGCCAAGCGTTGTTTTGGAGGGGCTCGGAAAGGTTGGAAGGTTTGAAGGCTGGTTTCAGTGGCGAAGTCATGTTGAGTCCATGATCCGCAGGTATGAGGCGGACCTGGCGATCTGGATGGCGAAGTGCGAGGCGCTGGAGCTCAAGATGAGAGAGGATGCGAAGGCAGCGAAGGGTGTGGAGACTATGGACACCTTCGAGAGCTTGGAGATCTCCATGGCCGCTTGGAACCGACGTCCTTTCCGCTGGAGGCCTGAGCTAGGGTGATATTTGTTAGGGGCGGGCGATTCGCCCGCACGGGCCTATCTTAAAAGTGCAGATGAACACACATGAACACTCACTCTCTCTCTCTCTCTCTGCCTCTCTCTCTCCCATTCCATCATGGCGGGCCTTCATTGAGGCTTGGAGCAAGCCGGTGGAGAGTGCGCCCAGTCGTGCCAGCCGGGCGACCCCTTGGTCGGGACTGCCTCACTTGGATGTGTTGAGGCATTCGATGTCCATGAAGCCACCTGGATGACACGGATGTCATGGGCGAGGTTCAGTCACACTTCATCTGGAGGTCTACCAGATGCTTTATTTGTTTCCCCCTGGCATGTCAACATGGAATGGAAACACGATCAAAGAGAAGACATCACTGCTTTGAAAGAACACTTGGCAAAGAGGCCCTTCGTTCTTGATGCTTCCAGGGAGCAAAAACACCAGCGTCGGTATGCATCACTGGGTCAGGATTGGAAGGATCAAGGAGGGTCACATCAGCCATGAAGACACCCCAGACCTGACGCTGCGCGTGCTGGTGGACTGAGGAGCACCGTCTTCACATGCTGTGACATTGAAAGGCTCTTGAGCCTGTGCTACTTGCGCAACCTGGGCTTGTGACGAGAAAGTGAGGTAAGACAGAATCCAAGAGTTTTGATTTCAGGCCACCAGTGGTGATGGAGGACATAACCAGCACCTGGACGCCAGAATTGTCCATAAATCAGGTGTTCTCCAGATTGGCTTTCAAAGATTCTGAAGAAGCTCTGTGTCGATCTGCAGGACTGTAGTATATTAGTGATCCTAGATCTCCAACTAGCTCCTTCGCAATGGAAACCACACAAGAACAAACCGGTTGATCATTCTTTAAAAAAAAACCCACACATGAAGAGCTCCGCATGTTTCCTTCACGTCCTTTCTCGGGTGCCACCGCCACCCTGCCTTCACCCCAAAAGGCACCTCCGCGTGGTGGAACAGCTTGGTGGAGCCTCCGCGCTCCGGGCTTCTCCACAGCCTCACGGAGTCGAAGCCCTTCAGGTTCCGCGGACCTAAGTCGTTGGTTCAACCACCTCGACATCCCCCTGTTCAACCAGGACTATTGGGGGTGTATTGGGTGCATTGATAGCCCCCCTGGTTTGAGGTGATTGGGGGGTGTCCATGAACCCCCCCCTTGCGGGGTGGTGAATGGACACGCCTCGAAGACCTCTAAGTAGCTATTAGACACCCCTTGCCCGGGGGGGCCAGGTACTGTAGTAGTTATTCCATGTAGACCGTTTGAGGTGTTGCCATCCATGTGCTTTCGGGGCTTCCCCTGTCTTCATCAGCCTACATGATGTGCACATCCTGTTTTCGTCTGTATATTGATCCAACTGAGGAAGTAGCCTCCTTATAGGAATGGGCGCGCCGGAGGAATACAGAAGTTGCCTTTTTTGAAAAATGACATGGTGGGACGTTACATGTTGTCCATGTTCTCCCATCACTCACCTCCGTCTGGACTCATGAAGTATCCTACCTGGCAGTCATAATCCACCACAAACCAGGCCGAATGAGTCAAATGATTCATTTGTCCTGGACTCTCCGGGGATGGATGAATTGAAGTCCACCGATCGTAATGGTTTTGTACCATGTTTTGCAATGCTTACAGTATACATCTCCAGGCCTCGAGGGGCCTGACTCATCAACAGTCTAAAGTTAAAGGACCATTGAGCAAACAATCACCAAAACTCCTCAACAGCTTGTCCCGCGCCCATTCCAACCCGGCATCCGCGGATGCCGCGTGGGCTGGAACGGCGGATGAAGCACGCCACCTGTGGGAAAAAAGCACCTGGAGGTGCTGGACGTGGTTTGTGATCATCGTGAATTCCATTGTGGTCACCTTGATGACAGACACTGGGCCGAGCTGACCAGTGTGAGGGCCAACCCACCCATGGGAATACACTCATGGGGACCTGAGTGGATGGCACAGGGGGGACATCGAGCTGATCAGGTGCTCAGTGCCACTGGCCACACTTGATTCGCTGGTACGGCGTCGCGACGTCTCCAGCTTCCGGAAGGGAGCCGTAAGGAGCGATCCCCCCACCAGAGCCGCGGCCAGCTGCGGGGCGCGCGGGTGACTCCTTCAGTTGACCTGACTCAAACCGAACTTAAGGTTCTCCTGGGAATGGAAGGTGCGAGGATACCAAAGTCATGTCTTGGGGCCTTGGGGGTGCTTAAGCAGCCCTTTCGATGTTGTGGTTTTGCATGACAAAGTGCATTTGATCACGCAAGCGGTGTCAAAGACTTTGCACAATTGACATTCTACACTTCTCCAGTAGCTCTGCAGCACTTTGGGGCGGGTGTGGTGCCGTGGCTTTTAACAGGGATGTCTCCAACCAAAGGGTCTGGGGCTGGTGTACAGTTTTTTTTCTTGCACACCGTCGTGGGCTGGACATCCCAGGATTGGATGATTGAGCATGGTAAGGAAGGACTGCCCTGGCGCTCTGCGGCCGTCGGGGTGCGGCAGAAATTGGACGAGCCGAAGAGTCCCCCAAAACCCCTCCAAAAGGAGAGAAGCGATCGAGGAACCATGTGCGATCTTTTTGGCTTGCAATTTTTCACAACAAGTAACTGTTTTTTTCACCATCTTTCTTTCGATAAACTTTATATTCTCTCGACTCTCGAGGGAGTTCCTTTTCGGCCTACTCGCCTCAGCTGGATCAAGGGAGGTGCTACAGAGATCCAGCGTCCCAGATCTGGTGCTTCGCTGAAGACTAGCATGGACCCTGAAAACCACTGGTGCGTAGAGGGTCTTTCAGGGTTCCATTCTCAGGGTCCATGTTAGTTTTGGGGAGTGTATGTCTTGAGTGCCTGCTGCCGAAACTGCCATGAGAAGCTTCCGGTGCTTGAGCTTCTTTGAGATATTGGTTGGTCAATTCCTTTCAAGAGACCAATTCGACCGGTCTGGTCTTTTCAGCATTCCGACTCTTGATGAACTGGGCAGATCACCCAAAGAGTGTAACCGTGACAAGGAACACATGATACTGACATATACTGACTATCTGAAAGCTTTCGCCTCTAAAAGGCCAGGGCCAGGGTGGCTGGTTTTTGAATCTACCTGCTTGCGCCCTCACCTCCTGTCGACTGAGCAGCTTGAGGAGCTGCCATGCCTTGGTCCTACGTCATCATTGATTACGTTTGCCTAGCGACTTGGTCAAGAGAAGTGCCGTAGGCATTTGTTGGAGTTTGGTTCATGCGCAGCGAGCACTGATTGAAAGGATTAAGGTGTTGCCCCAACAAGGCCTCCAACAAGGGGGGGTTACAGATCTGGTGCGCCTACCAGGCTGTCCCATGCATTCCGTGGGCGCGAATCCGCCATTGAATCGGCTGGACGCCTGCTTCATGCCAGCACTAGCTCTCTGAAACCAGCTAGGCATGCTACTTGGTGGAACTGATCTTGTGCCTCATGGTTCACCGCTGGTACTTCTTCGTGAACGAGAGCGCTGGCTGGTCGCTGGGCCAGATTTTTGGCCGTCCAGCCGTGGGAACCCACCAGTTCCTCAACATCGACCGAGCATTCGAGGGATCCGAGCATTCGAGGATGGAAGAAGGTGAAAGGCTGGGAGTGAATGGTGTTTGCTGGTCAGGTAGGAGTTTTATCCAGCTGAAAGTGATGGAAACCATGGGTGGGCCAGCTTGGCCCAGGAATTTGGTGCAACCTCCGCGACATGCGTGTGTCGTGGCGCCGGTGTTGTTTGGGTGTTAGCTGCTCAGTGGGGTAAAGCGACACTTGGAGCCACTTTGCTCCAAGTGCCTCGTATTTGGAGCCTCCAAAGCCACCCCGAAGGGACTTGGAGCCCTAGGGTTGAGTGGGTGGGGGGAGTCATCGAGGAATTGGCTCCACTTCATTCTGGTGATTTTGAGCGCCATGGATTTGGCCGCTGACTGGGGAGCAGACGATACCGGGACCATCATGTACATGAGCCTGGGCCGGAGGGAAGTGTTCTGCTTGGGAGGTCCCGGTGGTGGCTGGAAGGGCGTTTTCTTGATTTGATTGTATAATCAGTTCTGGGATAGGGCCAGGGCCTGGGCCACGGGAAGAAAAGCCAACTCCAAATCGTTCCAACCCAAAGCTGATGTCGGAATTGGGACTGACTAGATTGCATCAAACACCTTGGGAACTGCAGAGCACCAGGTGCTGCAACACACAGATCTTTGGCAGGTGTTTTCCCCTCAACTGGAATGGCCAAGAACGTTTCAGGAGCGGTTCCTGTAGTTGAGCAGGGTATATACATGTGTATATTGTACTTCCAGTAGCTCCTACTGCTCGCGTGCTCCTGCAGTACTTCTGACGCGGCGCTCTGAAGTTTCGGTGGTCCGGTGTCACTTGGAAAGACGGTCGATTTGGGAGTCCCCATCACTTGGGCCAACCCAATGGGAATGGCTTTCCTGGCCAACCCGCCGTGAGTTGGAACCGATTCCGGGTCCCCCCCGCCTGGTCGCCAGCGCCGACCTTTGACTGCCGCGCCAGGAGGTCGCTCCGCTTCTGCCGCGTCACGAAGGCGTTCCGGATTTTTCGAGTGATGACCTCCTTCCACGACGCTGGTCAGGGCGTGGCAGGGGAGGCAGGTAGTGGCTCGGTGAGGGCCCTTCTGTGAAGCATCGGGGGCCATGATGTTGGAGATAGATCAAGTCAAACATATAGGTATAAAAGGATGCGCGCGCGCGCACGCACACAATATAATAAACAAATATAATCAAATATATATATATATACATATTTATACACATATTAATGCTACATTACAATATCGATAGTATATATATAGATGTTAACCATATATGTACCACATGTTCTGTATATACATATTCATAATTAAAGAACACACTTATATAGATTAAACACAATATATTTGTAAGGTGCAGAGCCTGCAGGGCTGAGGTTTGTTGGGTATCGGTATCGCTTTATGGACTTGTTCTAGTCTCGCTCGGTTTGTTGTTACGAAAGCCAGCTATCGGCTAGGCTAGGCTGACCAACTTTTTCCACTCTCCCCAGCAGGGCTCTGGGTTCACCCTTGCAAGGCCTGTTTTTTGGACCTACACAAAAAGGCCTCTGAGAAAGCGGGACACGGCAACAATGACTTGTCGTTGCACGAGGCCGCTTTTCTGGGTTGCCGCCCTCTTGCGGTGTGTTTGAACGCAATCTCGAGGCGAAAAAATAATAGGATGCCTTTGGAAAGGTGGGTTCTAGCACCAACTTCTGGGACCTTTCTGGGACCTCAAGGCGGAGTTTTGGTGCCCTTGTCTGCCTTGTTTGAGACGGCCGGGCCACTCGGCCCGCGGTGCCGTGCTCCCGAATCCGTCTTTTCCACCCTCCACCGGGGACGGCGATGCTGCGCAGTGGGGTCCCAAGGAGTTGGCGGCGATGCTGCGTAGCTTCACGAGCTGTTTGTGGGCGATGCTTTGGAGCTTCATGCTGCTCTATCTACTTCTTTACCTTTGTAGCTTGGAACCGAACTCATCATATTTGTTCCATCTTCCCCCTCTTCTGGTTTCGGGAAATCGATTGAAGTCAAAGTCCAGTGATGTGGAAAGGTTCCACGGATGGCATCGGTCTGGTTTGTCGCACACAGGCGTTGCCTTGATTCGCACACAGGCGTGGTTTTGATTGCTCAGTCACGCTTTGATTTCTTCGTGTTGGAGAGGGCTGATGGTCCGAGTTTATATATACCTTTTCCAATTGAGTCGGGTTCTGGGGGAACTTGAGGTGCGCTGATCTTCGCGCAGGGCATCAGTGAGAGTCTTGCAGACGACGTCTTCCTGGACCAAGAGGAGGTGGAGAGTCCAGAGCGTTGAGTGTTTTTTGGGAGGTTTTCGGGTTTTGTCGGCCAAGCCGGTGTTTTCACTTGGAACTGTTCACCGAATTGACTTGAGTCGACCAAGCGGTAGGGCCTTCACGGCCAGTGGACGCGACTTTTTGGAAGCTAAGCCGGTCCGGGTTCGCTTGAAACTTTGCGTCTCAACTGGCGCACCCTCCGACCCTATGCAGGCGGTGAGGAATCACTTCGGCAGTGTGGGGCGGACGATGCTCTCCCTCTACATGAGCGTCACGGGCGGTGCAGACTGGATTATCTACTACGAGATCTTGGAATACACAGGCGCGGAGCGGAGGGGCTGAGCCGACTGGCTGAGGGAAGGCTTGAAGCGAGCTTCGTTTCAAGGAGTTTCTGGCGTTTTCCGAAATTCCAAACATGGAGCGTTTTTGGGCGATTCTTGATGAATAACCCCCCAGACATGGTTTGCAAAGCCACTTCAGGCCGGGAGGGTTTACGAATCAAGAGTCTACATTGTCCCACGCAGGGCGAACGTCAGGGCGAGCCGGTCAGCGTCGCTGCGTTTGGCATCTGGCGATGCCGGTGTTCCGTCGGCGGTCGACGGCGATGTTTTCTCATCATTTCTCAGCTGGGACTGCTGAAACCGAGAGCTCTATCAGGAATCCATGTTTTTTTCTTTTTTCTGCCTCATTCATGCGTTTGTTCCAGTGAGTGCCCTCTATCAAACATGACACTATTCAGCATTGCCACTTGATTCCTGCTATGAACTCCATCGAACTCCTTTCACTTAAGAGCTGAAGCGCCTTTCACTCTGCTTCAGGCTTCCTCTATCCTTGGCTGTTCTTGGCTTTCACCTTCCTCTTCACCTTCGCCTTGGTCAATATCCTCACGGCCCTCTTTGTCGAGAAGGCCGGAAGTGACGACTGGTGCCAGACCTGCTCCAACACATGTGAAGCTCGATGGTGCTCCTGACTGAGTCGTGGCGCGCCAGCTGACCAAACAGCTGGGTAGCTGCTGGGTAGGTGCTGGTGTAGGTGTGTCGGTGTCTTCCTTTTGTTCCCCTGCTCCTGCATGCCTCACTATGTCACTGGTTGGGAGATGGTCCGCCTTCAGTTTTGCTTCTTTCCGGGACCGAGGCCGTCGAGGGCGCCAAGCCAGAGAGGGAGTATCGGATCCTGCATGAGCGGCAGAAGCTTGCACATCAGGTGGGGATGGAACGGGACTCAGTTACGGTTTTCGACTGCTGGCTTGCTTGATGCTCATGCACAGGGTGTCCGAGGATTTTTGGAAGGCCCTTTTCTGATCCCATTCCAAGAGATGTTAAACCTCCCCAGACTTTTCTCCCGCGTGTCACCCTGTCCTGCTTGGAAGTGATACCTTAAGCCTTAGATCCTTTGTTGTCATTCCTCATCCACACCCACCTTGGCCGTGCTGGGGGTGATCTGGCACCCAGCTACGAGCAGTTCCCCTTTCCCACTTTCGTGACTATGTCAAGGAGTGTCCAGCTCGCTCCTATCGCCACCTGGGGCTCTCCAGCCCAAAGCTCGATCATCGCCACACCCCACGCCCATCCTCGGTCCGCCAGCCCCGGCTTCGGTTCGGTTCGACACCGATGGGTCCGGGTGGTTCGCTCCGACAAGGCGGCCGAGCTGCGAGAACTCTTCTTCAAGATGGACCTGGCGGCTCGGAGCGGCCGATCGAACTGGTTGCCGGGACCGGGAGGTCGGAAGGGAAGAGGTCGGATTGGGAGTCGAAAGGGGGGGGGTCCTGATGCTAGGGAGCTGCTTGGCAGCTCGTGGAAATGGCTCCAAGCAGTGACCCTGATTCTAGGCCATTTTGGGGGATTGAGCTGGCATAGAGGTTCCTGTATAGCACAGGTTCCTGTTGATAGGGTTGATGATCCTGGACAGGTCTGTTGGAAGATCCATTCAATAGCTGCAATTTTTCATGGCTTGAAAGCCTCTTAGACAAGCCTCCAATGCTGTGCGACGCTCTCATGACCTTCAACTCCTCAAGAGGACAAGCAAAATAGGAAACTTAAAACCCCCTGGAGACTCACATGGACCTTGAACATTACACGGTGGAAGACCATGTTCCTCTAGGACTCTAGGTCGTTCATCGTTTGAGGCTCGCTTGGACGGATGGACCCGAGTAAGGGTTGACATCCAAACGGGTCCGTTTGGTGTGGACCTCTTTTGGCACATGGACTGACCGTTTTTGGGCCTCCGTTGACCCCTTTCGATTGTTATTTCCCATTGATCTCTCTGACAGGTCGTCAGTTTGAGTCAGACTCCATTTTGGGCCACCTGGGGCATCTTCCCGGCAATGGCCGGCTCCGAACCCGACGGCCGCGGTGATCTCTCCGTGCCCAGGATCATTCCGGGCGCATCTCTTGGGAGGAGTTCAGCAGTTGAGCCTTGGGCCAAAGGGGGGAGGCTTTAGTAATGCCTTCCGAGATGCCCAAAGGGTTTGGTCGTGAAAACTCCTTAGTAAAACAAATGGTTGTTCGGTATTCCCGTTATAAATCAATGGTGGTTTGAATCTGAGGGTTGGAGCTCAGCTTCCCCAATGCCCGACGAACCGTCTTGCCTTGGCCTGGCGCGACGATCGGGGACGAGAGGTTGTCCCTATTTTTCGACTTATATAATGTATAGACTCTTGATTGATAGACCCCCCATATGAAAATGAAAAGGATTTTTCCGTTCAGATGGAGAGGGTTTATGAATCAAGAATCTACATGATGTTGTGCGATTTTTCGGACTTGGGGTCGCATCTAAAGGGACCATTATCCTTTTCACCTTCGGTGACATGGATGTCGAGAGGTTCAGGGTGCGTCGTGCGTCGTGCGTAGACGACCGCGGTCGGCCATCCCTTCCGGACGTCCGTCGATCCAGCTTCAGTGCCTGCGGCCCACTCCCAGTGCCTTTGGCCCGGGGTCTGATCAGCCTTGAAGGCATGCTGGACAGCAACATCGTCGCCTTCATGGGCAGTATCGGTTTGGAGGTCACCGATGCGGAGTTCTTGTGGAAGTTGGTGGCAGGCCAAGGGGGATCTTGAGGAGAGTGCGGCTTTGAGATGCACGAGGGGGACGGTGGTCCTTCAAACACACTCCCCTTGGCTTGGCCTGATGTTGCCAGTGCGGGTGTGGATGGAAGTGTGTGAGATTACTCAGCCAGGATCACAAGGCTGCAGGTCTCCTTTTGACTTGACCTGTGCTCGGAATTTGCAAAATCCCGCCAGTTTCTGATTTCTAGCGGACTTCGCGGATGCCTTCGGGATGGAGGAAGAGCGGTCAGTTGGGCGGTTCCCCCCCCAAAATCGAGATGGTTCGCCGCTGTGAACTGGCCGAGGTTCAAGGCCGTATCAACTCATATCAAGTCCTAGGAAGTCTGACTGATGCCTCTTTCCGGCCTCCAACATCCTCCAGCCACCATTGATTGATCCTCCCCTCCAATCATGGAAGATGACCAGGACCCCATTGTAGAGGAAAATGGTCTTCCTTCCTTCCATGATTTGGGTCAGGGAGTGTCATCGCGTGCCTTGGTCTTCGCGTGCCTTGGTCTTGGGCGTTCTCGGTTTTGTGGCCGATTTGTGGCCCAGGCATTGTTTGAATGGTCTGAATCCCACGAATGAGCTGTTTTGTAATGGTCGAACTGAAGGCTAGGGTTTGTTGGTCAGGCGAAGATGGAGATTTGGAGATCACCACCTTCGTCGACACCTGCATGGCGGTGAGGGGCCAAGCCAGTGCCCTTTCAGAAGCAAATGTTCTGCGCGGTTGACAGATCGCCATTAGGTCATCAGGTCCCTACTGGTAGGAGGCTGGAAGCCTGAACAGTCGGGCGATTGTTAGAGAACCGCTCTTGCGGTAGGTTGTTCCTGAGCAAAGATCGGGCTTGCGTCAAGTGTACGGCATCATGTAGAACAAGTCATGGCAGGGATTGCAGCCATATTTAGAATCTGATGGCCATGCTGTTGTGCAAAAACATGCACGATGCCCAGCCCAGAAGGGGCAGCATGGTGTATTAATCGATTCATTTACCTTGATTTTCTTCAAAGACTTGGGAGTCTTGGTCGGAGAATCTCAATGAAGTTTCGGGGATACAGGAGTGTACGTCGCAGGACCATCGGGCGAACTTTTTATTTTGTAAATGTAATGAGACCTTTTGAGACTTCCAGAGTCTCTTTTGGGACCTCCGTCAAGGTCGATCAGAAGCCGTTCTCCAGCCGAGGCACCTTAGATGTCCAAAAGCAGCTCCTCAGCATTGAGCGCATCAGCGAGACGCTGCGAGAGTGGGAAAGGCGCTTTTGGCCACTCCTCCACGAGGCGGTGGTTGCACCGCTGCACCACTCACGGGTCCTCAGGAGTGAAGGTGAGAAGTTGAGATCATCCCTAGAAATCCATTGGTTCCTATAGCTTCTGGTTGCGTTCGTAGCGATGGCCTCCAATTACTAGTAGCGATGGCCTCCAACCTCATAGCAATGGCCTCCAACTGTTACTACCATGGTTCCTATAGTTCCTGGTTGTTATGTACTTGTTCCATAATGGGATGATTGTCCAGGGCCACGGGCTAGTTGGGGGGAATGGTTGGGTGGATAACTAACATTTTGTGGTGGACCAGAAAGAAACTAGGGTTCAGAGTTCATAAGCTGGTTTTGTTGGGTTTAGCAGCTGGTTTTGGCTGGGTTCAGGCACTCATCTTGTCGAACTCTTTGTCAAACGGCTTCGGGGAGGTGGCCAGCTTGTGAGCCAGTGTGTGACACACGACGATCGGAAGACGAGCTCCTTTTGGCTCGTGTTCCGAACCCCTCCCACGTCTCGCCGTCTCTCAAAAGCACTGTCTCCAGTCCAGGGGCGCGCGCCTCGGAGCCCCAACCTACACCAAGAAGCCGCAAGCAGAATGACCCGCTTGGTCCGTGCCGTTTGGTCCGTGTTCCTTTTTTCGTGGTCCGAGCCCCTAACGGTCCTTGACGCAGACACGTCGCACGCTGATGCAGGCCTGGGGTCTCCGTACCGGCTCGACGCAGCTGCACCTGTGAGAGGCAGCAGACACCCTCGCGTCCGCACCCGGCCGGGCGCCGGTGGCACATGTGGCACATGGCCCCCCCCCCCTCTCATTTTTCGGGTTCTCACCCTGCGTGCCCTCCGCCTGTGGGAGATGCCTTTGGGTTCGGAGGCTGCGCCGAATTTGGGGCGCGTCGATGGTTGGGCCCGGCTAGACGTCCAAAAGACCTGGGGCCCAAACCCAAAGGATCAGAACCCACGACAGGCGCCAGAGCTGCCCTCAAATGCAACAGCACTGACCCAGATGACCAAGAGCTTCAACAAAGAGCGACCGACTCGTAGGGTTTCATTGCTGCCAAGGAGTGGTCTTTTCCAAGTTCAATCGACTGACTCCAGGAAGTGAACTATCAAGAAGTTGCTCGACTAACTCCTAGCAAAGAAGCATGGAACCATTTGGTATCCGCTCTTTAGATGTAGAAATTCAGACATTGGATGACATTGGATAATGGATTGAATTGAACTCTGTGTGTGGCTGGGGCAGCGAACAACTAGAGTCTAGAGCGAGACAACTCGAAGTCCCTAAGGGATTCTGCGAGAGGAAAAATGGGGCCTTTGTGAGGCTTTCCTACTCACCCAGCAGGTCTAGTAGGGAAGAGAGATTCAATGCAACCTCTGACGATGGGCCATGAAAATTGATGTACGTCAAGAGAACATGTTGCCCACGCAATGGCAAGGGAGATGCAGCTCATCACGGAAAGCTGTTTTAGGAGTTGAGCGCATCTCAGTCACAGTCACCACGAACAGGGTCACTTATCCAGCACTGTCTCCGCAGTCGAAGGGTCACAAACTGAAAGGCTGTTGGTCAGAGAGCAATGCAGGAAGCAGCTGTTTCATGCATGTTAGCTCCTCTTCGAAAATTCCCTCGCACGCTGAGCTTTACAAGAGGCTTTTGTTTGCATCCACCCGGAAAGCCGCCATGGAGTCTACGGAATCCTTCAAGGAACTCTTGGCGAAGCTAGCCATCAGGCCAGCCGATCTGATCGAAAGATGGCGTGGATTGCTGCAAACAGGGCCAAGCAGGGCATCCTTTGCATGACCTGCAGGGTGTCCGTTTTCTCAAGCCGTCGGCCTTGTGGAAACAGCAGCCACTTTTTAGAGCGACGGTTTCTCAATTTTCCATCCTTAGCCCTCCTCCTCCAACTGCAAAGCAAACGCAAGCAGCGAGGCACGAGAGTGAAGTGGCCGAGCTACGAGCCCGTTTAGCTGAGCTGGAGCAGCAGCAGCTCAAGGCACCCGCGGGCGTGCCGCGTCGCGTGAGGAAATCCCTAAGGTCAGTGGGGTTTTGCAGGGTCTGGGGATGCATACCTCCAAGTTTGGGCGAAGCCGATGCACAGCACTATTCTTTTTTGAGTTTCTTTGCTCCTGGTGTCTTTTCAACTGGATGGGAGGCGTCGCCCTTGGGGGATTCAAACAGCAAAGACAGGTTGAGACATCTCAGGTTCTGGAGACATCTCATGCTACTCCCTGTTTCATGTCCTTGGTCCAAGCCAGCGGCGAACTCCAAAAGGTGACGTTTCTGAACCGAACGAACGAACCACCGCATGGTCGACTCGCGGGCGTGATGGCGTTTGGAGGCCGGGGGGGTTTGATGGATCAAGAGTCTAGGCAGCCACTGGACCAGGAAGCAACAAGAAAAACACACGGTTTCCTTGGGTTGGCCCTGCCTCGGCCCAACCCCCCTTGGGTGAACAGTCTTGCGTGGTGAACGGCTGGGCCATGCTGTGGGACGGCTGGTCCAGTTCCGCCGGCAGGTGCAGACGGCGGTCTCAGTGGAGGGGGAGGCTGAAGCTGGCAGAGGAGAGATGGCTCGAGCGTGACTTCGGTGACTTCGGTGAAGAGGTCATTCTCTCTCTCTCTCTCTCTGGGCATTGGCCTGGAAAATCCATTTTGGTTCCAGCATCGATCTATCAAAGTCCAGTGGGTTGTTCCAACAGAGGTTGAAGAACCCTATGCTATCCGATAGGTATTGCAGGTTACGGGTCCTATTTACGGTCACTGGCTACCTCTCTTGGTTGGTCTAATCCCACCAGCTTGTCTGGCCACGGAAGATTCGGCTTGCACGAGAGGATCTCGACAGAGTGAGGCACGGCGGCGGAGGGGGGCGGATTTGGGGCCCCTGACACCCGACACCGATGGAAGCAAGAAGGAACACACAGGGAGTCACAAAGGGGTGAGGGGTGACGAACTTGGAGGATAGGGGAGCCCATTTTCCACACTCACTTAGGGACTAGAAGCCACCCCTTTTGTGACTCCTGGACTATGGAAGCTGTTGGCGATGGTTTTTCATTCTGCCGCTCGCCTGGCTGCTCCTTTTCATTTGGAACCTCTGGGTGCGCTGCAACGGGTCTCCGAGCTGGCGACCGGATACACAGAAGACCTGCGGTCAGGCTGTGGCGAGTGTGATCCGATGACAGGTCGTAGGATTTCCTGCGGCCTCGCCCTCCGGAAGAGGTGCTGCTACTGAAATCCTCCGACTGGTCCGGAACGGGGCCGCGGAACCCACGGCGCGCGAGGACGCGAAGCCGGCACGGACAGGAACTGCGGGCGTCGAAACAGTGGTCCTTCATCTCATCACTCTGGAGGAGTGGCGGGGAGCCGGGCGGCCCAGAAATGGAGTCCGTGACGCTTCAGCAGCGAACTCCAACCATGAGACTGCTCAAAAGTCCAGCCGCTCCTCCAGCGAAAAGTTTTCGCATGGATGCTTCCATCCCTCGTTTCCGGGGCTCCATTGTTCAAGCTGGACACCTGTGTGGTTCACTCCAGGTCCTTAGGACGGTGGTGAGCGCTGCCTCCTCGTTCGACTCACACGAACGAACTCCCACAACCACCGCCGCCCAGATGCGCCCAGGCGCCAGATGCGAGCGACCAGCAGCGGCCTGGGTCTGCGGCGGATCTTGCAGGAAGGGCAGCCGAAGCCGTCTTTGATCTCCGGAGCGTCGCTGGTCCAAGGGGGGTGAGGGAACCTGGGGCTTGGCTTCGCCATCGGATGCTGTTGCTGTTGCTGTTGCTGTTACTGTTACTGTTGCTGCTGCTGTTGTTGTTGTTGTTGTTGTCGTTGTTGTTGTTGTTGTTGTTGTTGTTGTTGGATTTTTGAGCTCTTTGTGCTCAGGGGGTCCTATAGACTGTGAATAGAAAAAATCGGGCCCAGGCCTGGAGAGGTAAACATGGTAAAACCTTCTGGTCGTGGGCTTTGGTTCATCCACTCCCAAGAGTCCAGAACAAAAGACTCATTTGATCCCTCTTTAGCCTTGCTGCTAGTGATGTGAAGTAAAGTCCCTTTTCTCCATCTCTTCCCACGGCCTTTCCCCCCCCTAAAAAGGGGCCACTTCCATTCCGATGAACTACCCCAATGTGTTTTTTGGGGCACACGGCACACCCTCCCAGTTCCACATCACCTCATAACCCCACCCACCCATTAGGAGAACGCAGGGCCTGGGGCCTGTTCTCGGGCGTTCCGAGGGACCAGCGTTCGGGTGGGGAGGAAGAACAACGAGGACCCAAAGGTTTCGGTCTTGGCTTCACCGGGCCAAAGACCGGATGTTTTCTTTTTTTTTGCGGCCTTTTTGCTTCTGCTGTTCGTTTTTGTTTTGTTGGGCATGCCGGATGGTGCCGGCTTGTTGGGGCTTTTGAAAGGCAGATGTTTTGACTTCCCAACTCCATCCAACTCCCAATGCTTTTCCATCCGTGGCACAGAACCGAGGAGCCACTTCCTACATGGTGCGGAGAACACTCTGGTGGTCGCGCTTCTGTTCAAGTACTTGGAGTGGTGGCACCAGCTTCATGAGCCACCTCGGAGTGGGTGCTTGGCCGCTGGGCACGCGTGCCCGGTCCGAGGGTCCACCCTCGACACGTCGGGATGGACCAAGTGGAAGCGTTTGGCGCTTCGATGTCTTCCCATCTAGCAGCCCACTTAGTTGGATAGTTCCACATCCGCATCAATTGTTGATATTAGGTTTTGAAGTTAGCACTTACTCCTCACGTGACGACGTTTTGGGGGCGGGAGGCCCCTTCACAACACCCTTCTCATTTCTAGCCAGGCACTGTGGACCAATTGTTCTTTTCAGATGGTGCAGAGAATGGGATCCTTTTTGTCTGATCCTGTGTATGTGAAACTGTGAAACGCCCCAAGCCCCGCACAATGCCACAGCCTGGCGACGGGGGTGACAAGGCGCTCCGGCTCCCCTTCTGTACCCCGTGACCCCGTGCCTTCCACCGGTGAGGTTCGGGTGCTTCACTCCCGGACCTTTCAGAACATTTCGATGATTGCCATTCTCTTCAATGCGGTGTGGATCACCTACCTGACCGTCCCTGGGACTTGTTTTCGGACGACCTCGCGGGCGGTGCTGCTGCAC